GAGGAGTTGGCGGAGCGGCGCCACAAGCTCGGTGTAGCAGGGGGTGCTGGACCGCATCCAGTTGGTTGCGCACACGAACTGTTAGAGGTCGGCGGCCGTGGCGGTCAGAGCGAGCACACACAGTCCTTGGATTCTTGTGGGGGAGTGCTGGACGCCTTCAGTTGAAACGACTTTGCCGCACCAGACGGCCTTGGTCAGGAAGAAATCGCATTTCTTCGGGTTGAGCTTCAGGCCGAAGGAGGAGCAGATCGTGAGGACTTGGTCGAGGAGGACGAGGAGGTCTTCAGGGGTCTCGGCGTAGCCAAGTATGTCGTCGAGCCAGGCTAGGAGTACAATAGGTCGGCAAACATGAAGTCCACGGCCGACTGGCAGAACGCCACTGCGTCGGTCTGGCCCATAAGCACTCTTGTAGGCGTGTACACTCCAAAGGGGGTCATGAAGGAGTAGAACATCTGGGAGTCTTCATGGAGCGCCAGCTGCCAGTAGCCCTTGAACCAGTCGAGGGTGAAAAACGCCCGCGCGCCCACTAAGACAGTCAGGGCGGAGTCGAGGTTCGGCATAGGCCATGGCATAGGCTCCGTGCACGCGTTGATGGGCCGGCTGTTGATAGTCATACGCAAGTCGCGAGGTTCTTTCTCGGGGACGATGCGCGGCGCCGAGGCCCATGTTGCGCGGTTGTTTCGGTACACCAGGCCAGCTAGACACATGTGCTCGCGCACATGTGTCTTGAGGAACTCCACATGCGCTGGGGGGTATCGTCGCAGGCCACACTTGACAGGGACGGCGCCAGGCTTGATGCGCACCCGCAGCGGCTCCACCTTGATCGGCTCGTCATGGCCGATCTCCAGGCGGAATTCATCACCGTGCTTGGCCAGGAGGAGTCGCAGCTTCTCGAGGAGGTCCGCGGTCAAGCCGTCGTCTTCGGTGGCGCGGAGCATGTCTTGAATCACCGCTTCAACCACCGCTCGCCGCCTATTCCGCTCGCCTTCTGCGTCTTCAGCAGATGGGACTTGGATGTTGGGGGTGGCACAGTGCATGTCGTCATGACTGCACTCGTCGCTTGAGGCGGCCACTTGAGTCAGGCGGCTGACACTTGCCATCGCAGACGGCTTGTCCACGTCGCTGACATCCCAGACTTCTTGCTTGTACAAAGGCGTGGCTGAGCAACTCGTCTTCAGAGAAGCTCAGCCGTTCCATCACAGCCCGGCTGATCAGGAGCTCCGCTGCGTTGGAGGAAGAGTCCACCCAGGCCTTGAGTCAACGCAGGGCCAAAGGTCCACAGGGGGTGTCCAAGGTGACCAACTTGAACTGCACTTGGCGGTCGACCTTGAGGGCAGGTGCTTGGCCATACGGCTGGATCATGGATGGCTCCGGCGAAATCACCTTGACTTCCACGCCGGCCCGCTCCAGGGACTTCATGACACCGGCTGTCACCAAGGTAACGTCGGAGCCGGTGTCGAGGAGGGTCGTCGTGACGGACACGATGCCTTCGATCTTGGCTTCGCGACCGAGGGACTTGTTCGCGCTGCCTTGAAGCTTGGTCACCTTCTTGTTAGGGCCAGCTGGAGTTGGACCGACTTCTGCAGGCCAAGCGGCTTGATCGCCTTGACCATGATGTCGACAACTGTCTTGCCTTCTTGGTCCAAGACCCACGCTTGGTCATCGCGTTCCAAGGCTCGCATCAGGTTGTCAAGCATCTTGCCAATCCGCGAGTCGGCGGCCAGGATGGTCGTGTCGAACAGGATCGCCGTGGTCAAACGCTTCTTGAGCACTTCCAGGTCTTGAGGCTCCTCTTCAAACGCCTTGCTAAACCATGCGACCCACTCTGCTTCCGTGATGCCACGGTAGTCGCGGTTGGCCATGTCCCACATCGCCACACGCTTCTTGGTAAAGACATCCATGCACGCGCTGACAGGCATCACGAAGGGTCTTGAGCCATTGAGCTGGAGGGCGTTGACTTGGTCGAGGTACTTGTTGTACTGGCGGATAAATGTGCGCCGCTCCGATTTGGTCGAGCCGTTGAACGAGGGCGGGTCAGGGAGCGCGCGTTGTACACGAAGCCGCGCTCGTCGCCTTGTCCCATGTCATCGTCATCGGGGACAGGGGGCAGGTTGGTGGCGCCAGTTGGTGTCGCAGCTGGCGCGGGAGAGTCAAATGGCGCGGCCACGGGGGTCGGTGTGGGCGTAGCCATATGGTTGAAACCGCTGGTTAACAGCTGGTGGATTACGCCGGCGTGGAGAGGCGAACGGGGTAGTGGCTTCACGGCGCACGGGACGGCCGCGTTCGGCTTCTCGGGATCAGGATCGCTCCGTCCCGTTAACAGGGGACAGCGAGCGTTGGTGGTCAGAGTCACTCATTGCTTCGGGCGATGAGGCTAAAGAATTCTTTGTTTTCGCTCCCGTCGCTATCCGGACGGGAACCTCTTGCGGAGGCCGAATTAAATTGCAAACTGAGGTCTCTTACTACGAATTACTTTTTCTGGTCAATTTTAAGTCTAATCATTTCGTCCAATGAAAATGCGCCAACAATGCACATCTTTCAAACGCACGACGAATGGCGACCTGCTGCACATAATGGAGACTAATGGCCTTACCGATCATGAGACCATGAGCCGACCTCTAAAAAGGCTATAGGTCTTTCTGCAGCGCCATGCAGAACAAACACGAAAGCCTCTACCACCCAGACGATGCCGCATGCATCCCACCAAAAGAAAAGCACAAAGGCGAAAGACTCTGCTTTGTGGTGGCAATCGTAGCGAGTAGGCCAACGACGGGGAAGCTCCTTGGGCTTGAGGTCTTTACCGGCGGAACAAGACAGCTACCACGCGATGTTTACCCATGACTTCTTTGTTGACTGGTTTGCTGACCTACTCAACGAAGTAGAGTCAATGAACTTGCATGGCGTGATCTTTGGACAATGCAAAGTACCATAAGGCTTACCTGACGACACCCAAAAGCCACGTGGAAGAAGGCTCAACTGTTGGACGCCTGTCAACGGCTCGGTGTTGATGTGACTGTAGCGGCGACAAGACCAATGGTGTGGGCGTCTCTCTCAAAGCCTACACCCGCCAGGAACATTGAGCCAGACATCGTGCAGAGGGCTCATGAGCGTGGCCATATTGTTGCCTGAACGCCGCCGTACCATTCGGATTTGCAGCCCATCGAGGATGGTGTGAGCTTGGGTTAAGGACCGTGTCGGACGACAGTACTCCACGTAGACGACACTGACCGACGTACGCCTGCGCCTTGACGCCGCCTTTGATGCGCTGACGAGCTTGGTCATCAATAACTGCATTCAGCACACCGATACAAAGGTAAACGCAATGCGCGAGTACCTGGAAGCACTCGAAATGTCTGACGATGATGCTGGACACGCGTCATCCTCATGAGCGACGTCGGAAAGTATGGGCAGTGACAACGTGACAAATGTCCGCGCTTATGATACGATACCACAAACTAGCGTTTCTGTGATAATGGATAATTTTTGTCATTGATATAGAAATTGCGAATCTGTTGAACGTAAAGCCTCGTTGCAAGCGTTTTTGGGTTCATCGATGGGACGAAGGTCCAAACGTGCCGGATCCAGTGCTTGAACTACTAACCTGTGACCTGTCCCGACGGAATTTGTGTGGACATCTTCGGCCCTATCGAAGGCCGTCGTGACGACGCTACCATGCTCAGGTCCAGCCAGATGCTTGAATTTTTTGGATGCTTCAGCATATTTAGATATGCTGGAAATGGTAGAGATTTAATATTTTAACAATAATGACATTAGACAGATTTCGCAATTACCAGTTCTATTCTATCCACAACTTATAATTTAGCACCTGGATGTTTGGATTTACATAATAAATGAATTTCGCAGACCATCCGCTACAAACTACTTTTATCCAGAAAAATTACCCCATCAAACGTCTAGCATATTCGCGGCCAGTGCCCAACGTGACGCTTGGCATGTTATCGGTGGAGGACATTGAGCTGCTCCTTACGAAGGGCCGATTTGGCTCGTTTCGTCGACGCATGCAACTATTGCGCTTGATTGCCTGTGCAGTTGGACGTCCTCTCGTTCCTGACGTCCACTTCAATCTTCTTACGATAAACCGATGCCGACGCCACGCTGAAGTTTCGATTTGACGTCCGAGGAGTTCAGCGACTGGCGTCAACCCTTGCACTGCCCACGGTGGTCAGCACAGCCGCTCGTGACCATTGACTTGCCTTGGAATCCCTCAGTATCACGCAATACCGCATGTCATACCCCCGCCGATACTACGACATGATGGCAAAGTTTGAGCGTTTGCGGAAGTCGACTTGTCGTATCTTTAACGAGGTCGTCGACTTCTTGTCTGGTAAGTGGGATCAGCTTCTGTACTTTTGCTTGCAGACGGTCGATCCAAGACTCAAGGCATACGCATGTGCAATCACGAATTTGGGCTCACCAATGGACAACATCACCGGCTTCATTGACAGCAGCAATATCGTACATGCTGCATCACGCAGCATGTTTCGGGGTGTGGAACAAAGAATTCTTTAGAGCATTATCGACTATACAATGAGTGATACGGAAACTGAGCCGTCAAGCCGAAAGTCTCGTTCGCCGGAGCGCGAAGATGACCCCGTGCGACAGGCTCCACGAGGGCGGGAAGGTCGCGGAGGTCTCCGTGGGCCTTTCGGCTCTCCTCCAAAAACCCAACCTCAGGCCATTGACCGGATCGGGTTGGGAACGCAAGGCAGTGGCCCAAGATGGGCAACATACGCTGCACGCGTACCCTTACTATCGGAGGAACCAGCTGCCGTGCAAGCAGCTGAGGATGTTGACATGGGGTCCGACGATGCCGTGAAGGTACTCAACGCGCCGGCGTTGCCACAGCCACCGTCGTTCAAAGGATCAACGGAATCTGAGCGTCGCACATTTATGCGCGAATACCAGCGATACACGTCGCAAGTAATGGTATTGCTGTCAATGGGTCAACGTCCGTTTTTGATGCCAGTCGGCTCGTGTATGGACCTGTTTTCAAACCGACGCATCGCTATGTTTTACTTTGGGAAGTCACATGGCGATGTGACAGAAGACGAGTGGATGGCCTGGTTCATGGAGGCCCACGATGAAGCACCCGACGAGTTGGACGCGCTGGAGAAGCGCCTTCAAGTGGCCGTACAGTTCGACACTAAGATCCTCGACGCCGACAGTCGAGTGAGTCGAATGCTCGACGACTCGATGAAAACCCTCGAGGCGGACGGCCAAGAGTGGGTAATCCATCAGGAAGGGAAGTTGATGGTGAGAATCATCACCAAAGCGATCAAGCCAGCACCACTCCAGCTGGCCGTGACGAAGCAGCTGCAACTGCAGCGGAACAAAGTGCTCAAGTCAGACGTGTTTCGCTACGTTAAGTGGCTGCGGCAATTCGTCATTGGGTACCAGCTGTATGGCGGCATGGACGATGAAAACCTTCGAAGCCCCTGGTAGAGAAGCCGCAGAAGGAAAACTCGCGGCCTCGTCCACGTTTCAGTCCGGTCCGTGAAGATAAGCGGCAGTGGCGCGTCTGTCGCGCCTCCTGCTTGGCGTGCCGATAAAAGCGATGAGCCGTCTGAGCGGCCGAAGCCCAAGTGCCTGAAATGTCAGTCGACGGCACACCGAGTGCGGGATCACCCTGGCATTACAGATACCGAGGTAAAGAAGTTGATTGACGACTTCCATCAGGCGCGCCGTCGGTCGGTGAACTTCGTGTCGAGCACGAAGCCTGCGAACAGCATGGAGTGTCAAGCGTCGATCGAGGACATTCTCACACTTCCTAAAGTGTTGCTGGACTCTGGGTCCGACGAGACACGTTGGTGTCGGAAGGCCTCCTCGTGGCGCTGGAGCGCCTCCGTGCAAGTCTAAATGTTGAGACAAAGCCAATACTCATGGCGAAGCCGTATGGAGAGACAACCAAGCCTCTCCATGTGACACGGCAAGACGGTGGCGTTGGAGACATCAATCGGCCCCCTGGCCTTGCGTGGACTTTGAGGGTGGGTCGAGAGAAAGAAGATGGAGATCGACATTCTCATTAGACGTCCCGTTATGGAGCGACTGGGGTTTTCAGTCGACAGCATGCTTGTCGACGCTTTCAAGCAGCGTCGAGTCTGGGATATGGCCGAAGCGGGAGATGCCGACCAGACGTCGGCGAATGTGAACCGGCTGCAAGGGGCGTTCCAGGAAGTCCCCGAAGACGCATTGTACGCCGAGGACGTGGCGTGTTCCACTCCAACAACGGAGAAGCCCGTCGATCCAGGCGGCGAGATCAAGCGCATTCTGGACGACAAGATTGTTGAGGCCATCCAGCTTGACCTCTCTTTGGGCACGAAGGCGAACTCCGGCGTATTTTGGGTGATCACGCCGATGTCTTTCGCCTGGAGTTGGGCAAGACTTGCCGGCTGAAGGAACCAGCGGTGCCCGTGAAGTGTGCGTTGCGCCGGTACCCGCCGGCCCACATGGATTATTTGAAGCAGCATGTGGAAGAGCTCGAGGCCGCAGGCCGCGTCTATCGCAACAACCATGCGACATGGGCAGCAGCGCCGCGGATTGTTGCCAAGAAAACTCCGGGCGAATATCGAATGACCATCGACTGTCGCCCGATCAACGCATGGACGATCTCCATGCCCTGGTCGATGCCGAACCTGGACGCCGTGATTGGCGACGTTGGTCGGCATGAAGTGTTTTTCACGTTGGACTGGCTAAAGGGGTATTGGCAGTTGCCACTGCACCCATCCTGTCAGAAGTGGTATTCGTTCATGACACCGTTCGATGTCTACACGCCAACCAGAATCCTCATGGGACAGACGAACGCCGTGGCCTATAGCCAGTCCGTGGTGAACCAAATGTTCGGCGAACTGTTGTACGCCGGGTTGTACGCCGGGGTGCTGGGTTGGTTGGACGATCTGCTGGGGTACGCAGACAGCGCGGACAAGCTGTTTGTGTTGTTGGGCAAGGTGCTAGCTATCCAATGGTGTCAACCAGCGAAGCAGGAATGATGTTGGACAGCTTCAAAATACTCAGAAATCCCAAACCCTAGCAAGTATACGTTTGTAGAGACACACGTTTTGTTGCCATGCGATGATTGACTCAATAACTAAATATTCTCTGTGAGCGGTCAAGGACACGTTGCGGCAAATGGTGCCGTTGTCGCATCCATCTGCAGATAAGGTCATCTGCCTTTACACCGATACCGGCGACACGCAGTTGCTTACACTGCCTGTGTGTCGACGGTACGATGGTGCCGAGACCCTGGGGCGCTGCCCTGCATGCGGAACGCCCAAATGAGCTAATCCACTTCGACTAACTCCAACTGCCGCCAGCCGCGAATGGCTGGAAATATGTGCTTGCCGTCAAGGACAACGTGAGTGGGTTTTCTCGTCTGATCCCTTCGGCAACGGCCGACGCGGAAAGCACGGCGAACGCCCTGATGGATTGGTTTGCGACACATGGCACTGTGTCGACATGAGCTTCCGACGGCAGAACCCATTTCAAGAACGAAGTCGCGGGCAAGATCAAGAGGATGATCGGTCGCCATCACCACATCACAACGCCGTACACGCCGTGGGCGAACGGTACGGTGGAAGTCATTAATAGACTTATCCTGCGAGGGTTGAAGACCCTGACCAACGAAATGAAGCTTCGTCCGGACGAATGGCACCGTGTGTTGACCCTGGTACAGAGCGCGTTGAACCACCAGCAGGTGGACCGCCTCGGCGGTGTGGATCCAGTGACGGCGTTTCAACACTTGCCGTCTACAATGACTTTAGCTGGGTTCGTACACCCAAGGACCAAGGAAGTACTCACGGTGGACTGGTTCTCAAAAGTGCGTCAAAAGCACATGGACGTGCTGCGACAAGCCTTGGAATGTATGCACCGCGAAGTATCGGTTCGTAGCGAGAAGTTGCGGCAGCAAGTGCGAGGCCGCCGCGAGAAGAAAGCGCATATGCTCTTGGCAAAGTTTGTTCTGGGCGATTTTGCGCTTTTGGGAAAAATCATCAAGTTCCCCAACAAGTTGGCACTCAACTGGAAAGGTCAGTACCATGTATCGCGGGTCGACTGGGAATGTGTGACAATGGTACAACAGCTCGTTCAACCGTTTGCGAGGTCGGTCCACCATGCCAGCCGGCTGAAGTTTTTCAGCGATGCCGCATTGCATATCACTGATGCCCTGGTGGACTACGCCAGGTTTGGCGATAAAGGTTTTATTTGTTGGGCGCAAAATTCGAATTACGCGTCAAATGAAAGGGGATAGACGAAGAAGAAGGTTCAGGTCCAACGCTATGAAAACATTGCGGTCGTCCTGCGCCGCTGGATCGTGAAGAATGCCAGCGACGGCGTCGTCAAGGAAATACACGACGACATATAGGCGACATTTAGCCATCCTTTGTAGGGGAAGTATTCTGCTGCGTCCGCAGAAGTGCGTCGTGTGCCTATGTAAATGACCGAGGGCTAACCGTACCTACATGGGAGTTAGAGATCCGTCTGGTTTCGAGATCCATCCGGTTTTCGACGCGTGACCGACATCGACGACTGGTTAGTAGGTCAATTGCTTGACCCTTGGCATACTGTATTTCAACTTGGCATCGCAAACATGATCATGGTTGTATTACTAACATTTAGAAGCTTCTAGAATGGTAAAAACACGCATAAAATATTTCGACTTTTAGGCCAAACTTGAAGTGCGTCTATAGTTTGCACCACCCTGAAAAATGGTTTTTTGTAATTTTGAAAAAAAGTACTTCGAATTTTATCGTTTTGTTACTGACAAAGTTTTTCGAAATTAAAATAAAGATAAAGTTGATATCACAACAGCGACCTTCAAATCGAAATAATTTTGGAGAAATCTCAAAAATACACGTAGGTCTATTATATACGTATGGGCGCAGTTCCGTGACACTTTTTGGGACCCTTTGATGGAGGGATTCCTTTACTCCAAATTGCTATTATAATAGTGTTTCTTAAAGAGGAGAATTAATTCAGTTCGCAGAACTTAAAATCATGTCGAAAATCGTATTAGTGTTGATGGAAAATGAATTAAAAGAGTGGAAATATCGATAGGCTGAAACAGGTCCGAGCCACTTGATTTTAACCAGTTATCTGTCAAAAATTGCATCTGATTGGCTGAAAATTTCAGAGTGATTGTTTTCTACCAATCATGCATCGTGGCACGGAACCAAGTTGTCACGGACTACGTATAGTTTACATCAGGACTGTATCCATACCATAAAAATTCCGACGTTAGTGTGGATTCCGTTCCGACGACCGGTTAGTTATCCGTATAGTCTCCGTTCCGACGACCGGTTAGTTATCCTTATAGTCAATATGATTGGTCAATTGAAAACACTTCTCATTTTTCAATTTGCAGCAGTCAAGCACTGCCAATGTGCTGTCGCTGACCGCCCACGGCCCGCCATCGCCGCTTCCAGTAACCAGTCACCATCGCCGCTTCCAGTTGCCGTTGCCCACAGCCTCCATTTCCGCTGCCCGCCGATGTATCCATCACTGCTCCCTGCTCCCGTCCCATTCGCCATTCTTGCCTTATTCTGTCGTCTCATCGATCATGTCGTACAACGGCTGGAGGCCTCGTCCAATTCGAAATTGTACATAAATTGGTAAATATCTCGTTTAAATCGATGTCTTTAAACTGAGTGCATATATGTTGTGACACCGGAGTCAATGCGATTCGTCGTAGCGTATTAGAGACGTGGCCGTAGAGTTCGATGGAAATCTAGTAATACTAGAAATGGAAATGTAATAATACTAGCATGATACTAGTATAGTCAAACAAATTTAATCCGGATAAGATTTGATTCTGGCCAATCCCAGACATTTGTGGAAAGGCAAGCATGCCAAATATTGGAGGTGGGGACGCCACAAGAGGCCGGGTGTATCACCCTTTCCTCTCGTCACATCGCGCGCGCTTCTGTAGCCGCTTTGCTGGTACTGCCGTTGACACAAGAGAGTTGATGACATGATGGGCTCTTGTGGTTGCCACATCGACTTGTTTGAAGACTCGGTGGGGCAGATGGGTCTGCGTTGGGGATGTCCAGCCGAGTGCGACATGAACTGATACACACCAAGGTACGCATATCTAGTAACCAATAGGGCATGATCTAAAACTACTTTAGTATACTCGGCAGCCAACTACTCCTCAACGCTTCGTGTTCGTTTTTTTCGCCGACCCCGTGGTGAACCTGAAAATTGAACCACTGGGTCGGTGCTAGATATGCTAAGGTTCGTATGTCTTTGTATCTATAACTACTACTAAGTACTGTACAGTGGGCCGCAAAAATCATCATACCCTAGTCAAATTATCCGGAATTTTGGAATATCTCTGGTTGTTGGACCCTTCACATTAAACCGAAAGATGCGTTACATTACCTGTTCAAGGACCTATTAGATTAACCTGAACAAGTGGATATTTCGCATTTGGGAAACTGTCTAATATGTTTTGACGAAAAGCAAAAGTGATCATACCCCATGAGTAAAAGTGATAATACTTCGGTAGTATTGATTCGTTAATACTTCGTGGCCCCTCCTTTGTTAGCAATTACCATGTTCAGCCGTTTAGGCATGGAATCAATGAGTCCGCGAATATAATCAACTGGAATATTGTCCCAAATCGCGGCAAGACGGCGCTTCAACTCCTCCAACGATGATGGCGGCGACATTCCGACTCTACGCTTCATGTACTCCCACACATGCTCGATGGGGTTGAGATCAGGACTTTGGGGGGATGTTCGAGCAACATAAACGCATTGGATGTTCGAGCAACATAAACGCATTGTCGTGCTGCACGTCCATTCATCCCGGCAGCATTGATGCGTCGGCGAATCGTGTCAGATGAAATGTCCTTCTCATGAAACACTTCGAACGTTTCCTTCAACGATTCGGCGCTGAGACGTCTGTTGGCCTTGATAGCTCGGAGGTTAATCCGGTCCTCGTGCTCGGTTGTCACCTTGGGGCGCCCAGATCGCGGTTGTGGGACCGTTTCCTTGGTCTTCTTGAGCGCTTTGACAATGCTCTGCACGGTGGCTTTCGAAAGGTTGAGGGTGGATGCGATTTTGCCGTATCGCATGCCTTTTAAGTGGTTGGAAACTACAAGCGTCCGAATCTCGTGGGAGTGTTCCTTACGACGAGGCACTGCAGCGTTCTGGTCGACAGAGGAAGTCATGTGCGGTGCTCAAAGTGTAGTAGTCGTTCGTACAATATTGAGATGTGTTTAGCAATTGAAAATGAACTGATCGGAGTAGAATTGAGTGAGTAATACATATTTTCGTACATGGGTATGATGACTTTTGCATTCAAAATTTCGGACCATCTGTTTACTGATGAAGTTTTCACTGTCATCCGGATCTATATATTGTCCAATCAACGTCGATATATGAGCCCTAATCCATAGCTGCATGTAGTACTGCTTACTTTGGCCAACCATGAAATATTCCAAGAATTATCATGTGATTTCAACATTTTCATGTTGGGATATGATGAATTTTGCGAATTTTGCGACCCACTGTACATCAATGACTAACCATGTCCTCACTAGCGTTAGTCAACAGCAGCATCGACCTTGTCGCTCGTGTTTGTGTCGACCCCGTGGTCACTAGTTGTTCAGCATGTACTCAGGATCGTTTAAGCTTGCATGTATACATACTACTCGACTCACTACTATCTTGGTAGTGCCAATGCTCATATTTGTACCTGTGTTCTGTGGTGGCCCAGCCATCGATTATCACTATTCAAATATGTTAATAGTAGTGTTGCTGTATTGTATTATATCACTATTCAAACATGTTGACAGCAGTGTTACTGTATTGTTTGTAAATGTGCGCGTTGTGCGTTGAAATGTTGTTGTACTATAGCTACAACGATACAAACCGAGTGCCCCGGTCGCGCTGCCCGCGTTGTTGGCGTGTTCAGTCCTGTGACACCATCCACAACTGTGTCCATGGTGGGCAACGTGGGGTTGCCGTCGGGATGGCCCGGCCATGCAGTGTAACTATCTGGTACGTCAACGGTACTGCTGATGTACCAAATGTCTTTGTATGTGTGCGTTGTGATTTTGTTTTATTACAGCAACTACGCTGCAAACCAAGTGCCCCGCTCGCCCTGCTTGTGGGATTTGTTGTCGTATGATTGGCGTGTCCAACCCTGTGCCACCGTGAACAACTGTGCCCATGGTAGGGCAACGTGGGGTTGCCGTCGGGGTGGTCGGGCCATGGACTGTAGCTATCCAATCATGTCAGCGATGTCAACGGTAGTTTTGATGTATGTATGTGAGTGTTAATGTTGCTGTAAATAGGAACAGCGCTGCCAACCGAGTGCTCACCTGCTACCGCCGATGCCCACTGCATTTAGTCGCTCGTGGACAGCGTGTCCCATCCCCGTCAACTACAGTGTCCAGCATATCACTGAAAAATTGACTCACAGTAATTCCGTAGCATGCAATATACATTGGCAAATTATTCTTTACTCTCATCTCTAGCGCCAGCCACCACCTCAACGACCACAGCCACGCCCGAGCCCCGTGTCCTCGACGACTGTCGCTCCCATGAAGGGGTTTTGGTATGTACTTTAACTTGCAGTACTAGTTTGAGAACTGCACGTTCTGGTTGCGGTGCAGGGTCAACAATTAGACCTAATTGGACTCGCGCATTAAATTCGACAATGAGCACACCCAGCTCTCCTTTCTTGTGAATAGCGCGTAGCTTGCGCTCGACGGACCCTGTTGACGATGCCGACACACCGCGCTCCACAAGAAACGCAAGTACCTTTGCTGCCAGAATGTGACCATCGGCAAGAACAGTGTCACGGTAGGTCGCTGCACTCTCGTCTACATCGAGGTTGTCGGCAAACAAATGCATGTAGGCAACGCAGCGCCGCATCGTGGACTTCCACTGCTTGTCAAGTTCGGTGGAGTGCGCATGGTTTACAAACCAGTCGTACCAACACTCCCAGAGGCAGGTATTTTTGCGTTTGCGGCGCTCTCCTGGCTTTTCTTCATCAGACTCACGGCAGCAGTGACTTGGTAGGTGAAGACTCGTCGGAGACGTTTTCAAGCCAACCTGATGCTCGACGTCTCGAATACGTTTGGACATTGTTTTTGTGTGGTCAATTAACTGGTCGATCACAGCTGCCTGGTGCTCGATCATTCGGAGGTACTTTGAGCTTGGAACATCCTGCTCTGAGGTGTTCGTTGTTTGAACTTGTGCCAAGTGGATAGACCAAGACGCCATCTCTGCAAGATCAACACCGGACGCTGAAATGGCTTGGTCAACTCGCTTCACAAGGGGCGAATCTGGCTTCATTGATTGGAAGGGGGGCAATGCCTTGATTAGGTAAGCACACAGGACATCCACAACCTGAGGACTGACGTTGAGCACAGTGTTGGATAATCCCGTACAGCCGCTGAACAAGTGGGCTTTGAAGAATTCGATCTTCCCTCGCCGTGTGGCGTCGAAGTGAGACAAGTGAGTGGGGTTATGTTTGCGTCGGCATCATGGCCGCCAAGTAACTTCGCAATTTTTTTATCTTCTTCTGTTGTGTTGAAGATGTACGTGAACAACTTGTTCGTAGCGGACATGTTCCAGTTCCCGCGATCCGCTATCCAGTGCGGCGAAATTCCGACTTTCCCATTAACGTACTGAGCTCCACCACGCCGGAACGAATGCGACGTCACGTTGGTAATAACATTGGCTCCAGGTAAGATACGGCCAAGGACACGGTTGACATAGGCGTGGATCCCTGGCGGTGATGCCGATGGTTTCCCTCGTACCACTGTGGGTTCAACGCCGTCACCTTGCTCGTCTTCCGCCACGGCTTCGTCAAGCAGACATCGTCCCGCGGTTGCGCCTTCCAAAACAGTCGACAGAGGTACGAGTGGACCACAGATGGCAAAGTCACACGCCTTAGGTTGTGGAAGATGCGGCAACAATGCCGAACGGAGCACAGTGAAGTACCGAGGCGGCTGCTAAAGCAGTGATTGGACACGTTATAGTGCTGTCGTCGGGGTAAAGCGTCATACCTTGCTCTTCTGATGTTTTCATTCGTAGAATTCGTACGAAAAATACGTTCTCCCCCCACAGCGAAATACTCTGCTTTTCGAGCGTCTCCAGTGCGGCGAAATTCCGACTTTCCCATTAACGTACTGAGCTCCACCACGCCGGAACGAATGCGACGTCACGTTGGTAATAACATTGGCTCCAGGTAAGATACGGCCAAGGACACGGTTGACATAGGCGTGGATCCCTGGCGGTGATGCCGATGGTTTCCCTCGTACCACTGTGGGTTCAACGCCGTCACCTTGCTCGTCTTCCGCCACGGCTTCGTCAAGCAGACATCGTCCCGCGGTTGCGCCTTCCAAAACAGTCGACAGAGGTACGAGTGGACCACAGATGGCAAAGTCACACGCCTTAGGTTGTGGAAGATGCGGCAACAATGCCGAACGGAGCACAGTGAAGTACCGAGGCGGCTGCTAAAGCAGTGATTGGACACGTTATAGTGCTGTCGTCGGGGTAAAGCGTCATACCTTGCTCTTCTGATGTTTTCATTCGTAGAATTCGTACGAAAAATACGTTCTCCCCCCACAGCGAAATACTCTGCTTTTCGAGCGTCTCCAGTGCGGCGAAATTCCGACTTTCCCATTAACGTACTGAGCTCCACCACGCCGGAACG